AAAGACAAATTCAAATGTATTAATTTTTTAAAAAGAATATTGAACTCTCAGTTTAAGAGAAAGTTACATATCTCATTTAATCCTTTAACCACCATATGAAGCAAGTGCTGAACCCCCATTTTACAGACGGGGACATTGAGGCCTAGCGAGGTGAAGTAAAATGTGCAAAGTCATGTTGTTGTTGTTAAGTGCCATCGAGTCGGTTCCGACCCATAGCAACCCTGAACAGGGTTTCTGAGGCTGTAAGTCTTTACAGGAGCAGAAAGCCTCATCTTTCTCCTGCAGAGCAGCTGGTAGTTTCGAACTGCTGACCTTGCGATTCACAGCCCGATTTGTAACCCCTACACTACCAGAGCTCCTTGTGCAAAGTCATACAGTTTAGCAATTGGAACTCTAAGTCCTGCTGTTTTAATCCACCAGGATGCTCTTCCCACTGCCCCTTCACTTTCTACACACACACTGCCATGTGGGTAGGGAGAATCCCACAATCACTTGCCTTACTGATCACCATCAAGGACAACCCACTCACTGCTCCTCCACACCGACTCCTGTGCAGGGAGTCTGAGCTGACAGGGTCACTGCTGAGGACAGGTCACCTGGTCAGCAAGGCAGCATGTCAGACCCATCAGCACTCAGGATTAGGAGACAGCTCAAGTCCAAATGTAGGGGTTTGATGATTTTGTAGAAATCAAAAGGACAGGGCAAAAGCTACACACAGAAATGCCACTGTAACCAACAACCAGGTCTGCTACACTCCTGCTGTTATGTGTCAATCCGGAGGGACTGGTCAGGCTCTGAGTAGGACAGTAATGGGGACAGATGCCAGGGATGAGACATGGGCTCAGGAAAGAGAGGCTTGGGAGAGAGAAAGAGAACAGGCAGGGAGGAGGGGCCATCAGGAGGAGCCACCTGGTGGAGGAGCGATCACTAACCACTGCATGTTGTGAATAATGTTCCAGATAACTGACAGTTACATTGTTGTTGCTGTGATTTGGTGTCAAGCAGGCTGCCCATTTATGAGGACTCCGTGTGGTATAGAATAGAACTGCTCCATGGGGTTGTTGTTGTTTTTACTGTAATATTTACAGAGGAGGATCACCAGACTTTTCTTCCACAGCATCATTGGGTGAGGTCCAGCCACCAAGGTTTAGGTTAGCAGTTGAATTCAAACCGTTTGTACTATCACCACCACCCCCAGGGAATCTAGACTTCTGATGTCTTACAAATGGTCATATCAAGAACAAATGGACATTTTAATATTTTTATTTAGTTTAATAAACATATGTACTGGTTATCAAAAAGGCAAAGTCATTACTGTCAAGTTCATGTTAACTCAGCGTGACCTGAGTAGACACAGTAGAACTGTCCTGGAGGATTTCCAAGGCTGCAAATCCATACAGGTGTACACCGCCTCATCTTTCTCCCACAGAGAAAGCTGATAGGCTTGAACCTCCGACCCTGAACCTCCACACACTTTAACCCCTTTACCACCATGGCTCCTTTTTGTGTGTAACTTCTAGATAGCTTGTGCTTGTAAGGGCACACACAGTGTACATATAGGATCAGCTGATCTGTTACATAGTCTTTGCTCTTATAGTCCTTGATCACCTATCTTCAGCAGTTCATACAGGTCCACCTAATAGTTCCGTCATATGTGGCATGGTGGGCAAACACATACAATGCAGGTAACCTAAAGGTTGGTGATTTGAACCCACTAGCTGCTCACAAGCCAGCTTCCATAAACATTTACAGCCTAAGAAACACTAAGGGGCTGATCTACTGTGTCCCATGGAATCACTATGAGTCAGCATCCACTCAATGGTACCCAACAACAACTTCAGTAACGATGGGATTTAGTAAGTATTTCCAAAGTATTAACAAAAATTCATCATGTTAATAAATTTGATCGTGAAGTTAGAGACTGGCAATATTGCCCCCTAGTGGCATATTCAAGAACTTACTTCTCCATTAGGCATCATGACTCAAGAGTTCCCCTATTCGCGGTTCACAGCCAGGGCCAGGCCTGTGTGGGACTAGCTCTTGGGGTGGCTCCAGTAAACCACAGCGTGATTCTGAAGGGGGGTGACGTTTTCCTTACGATTCAGCCTCTTGGGTAGCTGAATGCAGATGCTCTTCTCGGAATCAGAAAGCTCAAACACATGTTACTCCCCTCAAACCTCTCCCACTGAGTCACCTGCAGAGGTTTTCACACTCATCTGCCTGTAACCACCCCCTCGCCCCATGTGAGGTCTGAGTGAAGCCAGGACTTAAGTTGAGTTTACTTTTAATTCTTTTTTTTTAATTAGATATAACCTTCAAAAAAAATTCTAGTGGCAAAATATATATAACAGTTTGTCATTGTAGCCATTTTTAAGTGTATACGTCAGTAGCATTAATTACTCTCACAATGTTGCACAACCATCAGAGCTACTACCTATTTCCAAAAGTCACCATTACCCCAAACAGAAACTCAATACGCACTAAGCCCCCAATAACCACAAATCCTCTTTCAACCCTCTGTATTAGGCCAAGTGGATCCATACAATATTTATCATTTTACGGCTGGTTACTTCACGAAGCACAACACTTTCTCAAGGTTCACCAGGGGGAGGCATGTATCAGAAGCCCATTGTTTTTCCCGGCTCAGTAATACCCCAGTATATGGGTAGACCACATTTGGTTTATCTATTGTTGCTGGACACTTGGGCTGAGTTGGGTTTTTGAAGCTCCACAGGTAAGCACATGCAGTCAGGCTGGGAGGCACAAGTGCAGATCCAGGTCCATGTACTTGGTGGAAGGAGCAGACAGCAGAGAAGAGAGTGGGTGGGGGTGGGGGGGAGGAGAACTGGAGGGGCTGATACCTCGCTTACCTCATTCCAGGTAATGTCCAAGCATGCATTTCTCCTCCGTCCTGACAACTCTTCAAAAAGGGCAGAAAGGTCCAGAGTTAGTTCAACGACTTGTTGCCATTGAGACCTGTTATGTGACAAGAGTAGACATCAAGTAGTCCTGGACATTCAGAAAGAAGGGTTGGTTTATCAATGGTTGCCAAGCACTGGTCACCACACCCTGAAAGGGTGATTGGTACTCATCGCTTCACACATCGCTCAGGGCCAAAACGTGAATCAAAAATAGCACTTCTGTAAGGGATGCAAGTGAAAGCATTTGCCTCTCCAGGTAGAGCTTATTTGTGGGGCCAAGGTAGGAGAAAGTTGTAGAGGCCAAATTGATGAGAACACCTTATGCCACACCAACACCTAACAGTTCAGCTGCTAATAACAACAAAATAAGCAAACCAAAACCCATTGCCAAGGAGTCCATTCCAACTCATGACAACCTTGTGTCCAAGCAGAACCGGGCCCCAGAGGGTTTGCTCAGCTGTGATCTTGATGGAAGCAGATCACCAGGCCTTTCTTCCATGGTGCTGGTGAACCTTTAGGTTAGCAATCTATCACAAATGACTTGTAACACTCAGGGATCTTAGCCTGAGTCCAGTGGACCAAAACACCCAACCTGCATATAGAATGTATCAGATCCCTGAGTTGAAAATAATATTGTGCTCCTGGAAAAGCTGAACCCCCCAATCTGATACCTCCTGTGTTCTGTTTCAACCTTCTTAAGAAAACCCCCTTGGAGACACACAAGAATGCCCAAACTTGCAGAAGGTGGTTATATGCCATGGAGTCAGTTCCAACTCATAGCAACCCAGTCTATACAGGGTTTCCAAAGGCTCGGGCTGTGAACCGCAAGGTCAGCAGTTCGAAACTACCAGCTGCTCCGCGGGAGAAAGATGAGGCTTTCTACTCCCGTAAAGATTTACACCCTCGGAAACCCTGTACAGGGTCGCTATGAGTCAGTTCCGACTCCACGGCACATAACAACAACAACAACAAAATCTTTACAGGAGCAGAAAGCCTCATCTTTCTCCCACAGAACAGCTGGTAGTTTCCAACTGCTAACCTTGAGGTTCGCAGTCCGATTCGTAACCACTTCGCTACCAGAGCTCCAGATAGTACCCATTTAACCTAATTTCGATGGGTTGATTATCAGAACTCAACTGAAGGAAGATAAAGAAATTTGAAAAAGGAAGCAAATGTAAATTGCTAAAATTTGATGAACTTGACTATACTTACGGATGTAGTAGCTCAAAGAACCAACCGAGAGGGAAGGAGTCTTCACATCAAGTATCAATCTTATCCCCTCTGTACACAGGATTGATAGGGACAGGCAACTCAGACGCTGGCTACCTAAAATGGGGGCAGGGGGCACTTACAAGCACAAAGTGGCTGGCTTACAAGTTTTCAAGAGGGAGTTTAGTTTCAGAGTGTGCAGGGGAAGGTAGAATCCCCACTGAATACTTTTCATCTTGTCTAGTCAGGTCTGGTGAAAGGAGATGGGGATAGGGCTTATTTGATTCAATACTAATTGTTCATACCTAATTACAATTGTCACAACTATAAAGGTAGAAGTTGTGTAACAAAAAGAGGGGAGTAGTTAGTCTTACATTCCAAGAACAGAGGACCTAGGACCATCAAGAGAGAAGAGCATGAGCAAAATGTGGAATCCTATCGAGAGAAGCAGCGACACCAGAGATGGAGGCAGAGATGAGGACATGGAGAGAGAGAGCAGCTGAGGACTCTGGACACATGGAAAGAGAAAGGCTATGTGCTGGCAGCCAGGAGGCTGGCTTCCAGAACGTGCCCTTTGTTTGCTCAAATGATTATATATTCTTGGGAGGTTTTTTCCATACATTAAAAAAAGGGGGGTTTGTTTTGTTTTATTTCTTGATAAAAGAAACAATCTATGATGGTTTGGGGAAGAGGAGGAAATTATATATATGCTGAAAAGTAGACACATATTGACATGGGTGATGGGGCAGAAAATATACAACTGGAGGGAGGTCAGCAGAGGAAAGCAGGGGGTGGCAGGAGACACAGGGAGGTATGCAGTGGTTAAAGTGAATAGAGGTAACTGCTGTTAACTGTTGGTACATGGAGGGGATTGTAAACCATGTCATGAAGCAAAATATATGATTTGTTGAATGTAAAATTGATGATCTGCTCTGTAAACCTTCACTCAACTCACAATAAAAAAGTTTTGTTTTGTTTTGTTTTTTTTTAAAAAAAAAGGCCCCCTTGCTTTATTTCTCATTGTAGCCTATCCTACAACCCAGCCCTCCTAGAAACTCCACTTATCTGTTTCTTCCATCCCAAAAGCAAACACAGTGCCTTGGAGTAGACTCCAACTCAGAGCGACCCTAGCTAGATAGGGTTTCCGAGGCTGTAAAACTTTACGGGAGTAGAAAACCTCACCTTTCCCCTACAGAGAAACTGGTAGGTTTGAACTGCCAACATTGCTGTTAGCAGTTCAGTGCTTATCCTACAGAACCACCAGGGCTTCTATTTCTTCCATGTTGTTATTGTTAAGTGCCGTCAACTCAGTTCTGACTGAGCAATCCTACAGAGAGGCTGGTGGATTTGAACTACCCTTGTGGTAAGTAGTCCAGTGCTTATCCTAAGTGCCACACCAGGACTCCGTAGTCTTCCATGTGGTTAAGTGCGGTCGAGACAGTTCCAACTCATAGTGACTCTTTAAAGGGTTTCCAAGGAGCAGCTGGTGAGTTTGAACCACAGACCTTGAGGTTCAAACTGACCTTGTGGACGAGTGCTTATCCTATAGCACCACACCAGAACTCTCCACAACTAATCCATAAGATTGTATCAGAGTCCTGGTGTGTTGCTGTGGGTTAATGCACTGGACTCAAAAATAGTTTGAACCAAAAGGTCAATAGTTCAAGTTCACCAGCCGCTCCTTGGAACTAATTATGGTGGGAACTGACTCGACAGCAGTTAACAACAATATTATATCACGCCGTCTATTGCTGGTCTCCTTCAAGCAGAACATAGACTGCAAGAGGCAGAGAATTTTATCTTGTTTTGTTCCTGAGTGTGTAGCAACAAATGAACAAATGAACGTTTATGTATTACTTTCCAAATTCTCTCCGCTACCCACTCCCCATCCAACCCCACCCCCAGCCAGAAAAAAAGTTGACAATTGCTTCACGCAAGGTCAGGCCAGTACCAAAAGCCACTCTAGCAGGGACCCTGCTCACTCAGGGAGCAGAGGCTGTAGGCCTGGGGGACACGGTTAAGCACAGGCAGCACCACAGTGCTCTCCAGTGGCCACTGAGGCTCATTACATGAACACAGACCTCCCTTACCTCAGAAAGGGGAAAACATCCTCGGATTGACCTACCAGCAGCTTCCATTAGAGTTCTCCTTCCTGTCCTCTCCCTTCTCTACCTGCCACAACAGGCAAAGTCAAAAGATTTCAGAGCTGAAAGGAGACTTATTCCTTATTACTTCTCTCTCTCTCACACACACACACACATACCAGGTGAGAGACAGCAGAGAATGGAATATAGCAAAATAACACAAAAATGGGAGATCCTCAGAGGATTGGAAGACTTTGGGTTGAGAAAGGGGATGGACCAGTTGACCCCCGGCTCCCTGGCTCTCCCCACATGAAGTACCGAAAGGCAAGGACTGCAGACCTGTCCACATTAGAAATGATTTGTAGGAAGTCAGCGGTACCACTCCTGAGCAGATGTGCTGCTTTCAACAAACAGCACAAGGCAGGGTCGAGGACTGAATGCGACCCTGCTCCTAACCCCCTGTGCTGGTGCCCCCTGCCCCTGCAGCACACTCATGTCTGGTTTCCGCTTTAGAACCAGAGGAGGTAAACACACCCTGCCCCACCCCCACAGCCTCCATCTGTCTTCTCACTGCCAGGTTCCAGGGTTCACATGGTCAGTTGTCCTTCTTCCCCCAGTTCTACTGGGCTGTTGTTGTTAAACAGCACCATCAAGTTGGTTCCGACCCATAGCGATCCTATATAGTTACTATGAGTCGAAACCCACTCCATGGCACTAAACAACAGTAAAAAACCCAGATGGGAGCAGGTGACTTTAGATCATAACCATAAAGTGACATCACCTTGTCTCTCACTGGCCATTTAGTCATTTATTCTCAAGGATGACAATTAACAAGCAGCCCCCCATTTCTACAAATGCACACTCTGCCTCCCACCCCCAATCTATTATTGCTGCCCAAGACAGGTTCGTAAAGCCCAGCCTTGTTTCTCCACTGGAGTCAGACAGGGAAGCTGGCCCACTCCCTGCTCAGTCTCCAGTTGTCCAGTTGTCATTGAGAGAGCACTGGAATCATGGCAACCTCACACATCAGAGCAGACCTGTGCTCCGTAAAGACCTCCAGTAGCACATTGCCAGGCCTTTCTTCCAAGGTACCTCTGGGTGAACTCAAACCTTCCAACCTTTCAGTCAGCAGCCGTGTTTACTACTATTCAAAACGGAGACTTTGTCATTTTCATTTTAAATATAACCTGGCATTCACAATATTACAAGTATGTATGTATTCACCTTCCAATTATATCTACATTGTAAATTACTTCCAGTCTGCCATCCTCCCTTCTCAAGGGGGGCAAAGTCTTTGTGGCTTTCTAGGTTCAGGGTTAGGCAGTAGTTGATGCTTCTTTCCAGTTACGGGCCCCGGTACTGCCAACTTAGAATGCGTTCTTCCATTCTTCACCTGGGTCATAGCAGAGACTTACCTGATAGAGAGCCCCTTACTTACAGGACGCTGGACAGCAAGCATTACTAGGGCCAGGTGGCACATCCCTCCTCCATGGAGCTCCAATGCAGCTGTCAGAGAACCTTGCTCCACATCCCCCATGAGCTCCCTCAGCTAAAGGCTCCAGATGTGTGTAGCTGCCTCACTGGGCCACCAACATCACATCTTACCCCATAATTCCTGTTTTCACTCCTAATAGAAAAAGACAAAATGCTATCCCAGGGGCCCAAGAAAGCAAAAGCCGAGACAAATTGCTATGTAAAGTTACTTTTTTTTTTTTGCTTTTTTTCTTTGAAAAATCTATTTTAAAAGTTAAACTACTAGGATACAACATTGTATCTCAAGTATAATCTCAACTCTCTCAAAAATAATAATAATGCAAAGAAAATGTCAAAATATTAACCAGTTACTTTTAGGCAACTCTCCATCTCTCAACCTGTTTTTAATTCATTGTGGTTCACTAACTTTCTAGGATGAACACTGTTACCCTTAGATTCAGAAAATTATAACCTCAAAAATTACCAATTAGAAGTGGACCATCACTTCAAACATTATAAAATTGAACAGAATAAGCCTCAAATTATTTTTCACCTCTTCCCAATTTCAACTTTAGAAAGGGTACATAGTGGAATCGGGCTGTGAACCTTAAAGTCAGCAGTTCGAAACTACCAGTTATTCCGTGGAGAAAGATGAGGCTTTCTGCTCCCATAAAGATTTACAGCCTCGGAAACCCTGTACAGGGGGGTCGTTATGAGTCAGAACCAACTCCACAACACATAACCACCACCACCACTCATAAAGTGTCTATAGCTATCTGTTGTTGTTATTAAGTGCCACTGAGTTGGTTTTAATTCATAGAAAACTGTATAGGGTTTCCTATACTGAGGAGTGGCTAGTGGGTTTGAACTACCGACCTTGCAGTTTGCATTTCAGTGCTTATCCTACAGTGACACAGGAGGAATTCCACATAAGTATTTCAACAGAGGATTAACTACTGATGTTCTCACTAAATAATACTGAAATGCTAGTTTAACAAGCTCATCAAAAAGATGGTTCAAAAAGATGGTTTAGACTATTCAAATGTTCACATCCCCAAAATGAAAATAAATTTAGCTGACTAGAGACTAATGGGTAAATCTATTTTCCTATGAAAGGATTTTAAATGTCCCATCTAAACACAGCCACTTCCCCAATCCCTCCTGTCCATCCTGATGAGCAGTTAGAAACCCTGCCCTTTTATGATGTCCTTGATGTTCTCATCAAGTCCACAAGTTTAGTTCAAAGCAGTATTTACCGATTTTAAGAGAAGTTTTTTATTTTTGCTCTGACACATCAACAAGTTAGAGAAAGATGCATTTCCAGGGATTTTTTTGCCAGGTGGAAGGAGAGATTACACACGTTCAGCTAAGACTTTGCCTGGCAGAGACAAACTGTCCTCAAGAAGATAATTATCCCAATAGCCTATGTGTCAAAGTCAATGGGAAGTTGTTTTCTTTGCCTGGCTACGCACCACCACCTGAAAATGAGATTGAATGAAAGTGTCCTGGACACCCCCTGAATATTACAGCTTTAAGTTAGGTTATCTTCAGCTGTACCAAACCAGATCTCCATTTATTGCACATCAGACATAAGAAAAAAATTCCTTCATATCTTTGTATTTTGTAAGACAGCTCACATCCACCATGTTAGTACAGAGATTACAAATGAAAGCTATTAGAAGAAACTCTGATCATTCCAGAGCACTCATTATAACAAAAAACTTACTGAAGAAGTAAAAAAAAAACAAAATGGTATACTGAACACCAATGTTGACTGCAGCATTATTAGGCACAGCCAAAAGAAGTGAACAGCCTAAAGGGCCATCACAAGGTGAATAGATAAACAAAGCGCAGTATATGTACCATAAAATCGTCCTCAGCCTTCGAGAGAAATGAAATCCTGATGTACACTACAACATGGATGAACCTTGAAAACATGCTGAGTGAAGTAAGTCAGTCACAAAAGGGCAGCTCTTGTATGGCCCCACTGATAGGAAATAGGCAAATGTCTAGAGAGCAAATCTTATTAGTGGCCGCAGGGATGGGAGGGAAACAGAGACTGATGTTCCAGGGGACACTGAGCTTCTTCTAAGGGGGATAGGAATCTGGAACCGACAGTGGTGAAGGTCGCATAACACGACAAGCATCATCAGTGTCCCTGAGTGGTACAGGTACAGACTACTGTACCGGACTATCTGTTACATATGTTTGGCCACAATAAAAACTATGTATGCTGAATACAATAGGCAAACGTATTTCTGGCAGAAAATCAGTACGTGTGTATTTTCTATTACAGGAACCAATTCACAAGCTCCAGTGTGCCACTAGTCCCAGTGTCTTCAGTACAGCCTCTCTGAGCATGTGGGCAGGGGGGTGGGGGGTGTCCCAGACTGATCAGAGGTCAGGTCTCATCAAGGATCCAAAACTGGGGTACTGTCATTGATTTCCCCAAGCCTGGGATGTTTTGGTTTTGGTTCACAGCACTGAGGGTCTCCAGGTATCTCTGAAACAAAGAAACAAAGTTTGCGAATAAATACTTTCAATTCAGAGCTGAGCTTTACAAAATAAATTTAGTGCGATGATAAGGAACCCAACTGTTGACAAGTTCCTATGTTGATTCAAGGGGAAAGACTGATGCCAGTGGGTCCTAAAATGGAGGGAGTGATTTTGCACCCCAAGGACATCTAGCAATGTCTGGAGGCATTTTAGGTTGTCAGGAATGCTGCTATAAATCCTATAATGTACAGCACACAGCCCCTGTAACAATGAATTATCCAGTCCAATGTCAACAGTGATGGTGGTAGGGATTGTACGTAGCCAAGTCAATTCCAACTTAGAGACCCCCGCATAGTATTTCTGAGACTGTCCATCTTTAGGGGAGGGAGCAGAAAATCCCATCTTTCTCCCACAGAACTGCTGGCAGAATCGAACTGTTGACGACCTTGCAGTTAGCAGCCCTTCACGTAACCCACTATGCAACCAGGGCTCCTTGATGTCAATAGTTCTGAGGCTGAGAAACCTGGATCCAAACTTGTCCATCTCCTGAACCCACTCACACGCCATCTCAGTGATTGCTTCCACTCATGGAAGGCTCTCCCCACTGAGACACAAACAGGCAGGCGTTCAGTCTCGGTGAAGGCTCTCATAGCATGTGCCCTTGTGTCTCAGAACTCACTTGAAATCAGGTGGGATTAATTTCCAAACCAACCAAAGAGAAGATACTTTAACAAGTAAAACTATTAACAGTTGGGCTCCTTATTACTTGTCATCATCATCATTTTTGTTAAGAGCTGTTGAGTCGGTTCTGACTCACAGCAACCCTATATAGGGTTTCCAAGGAGCAGCTGGTGAGTTTGAACTGCCAACCTTGTGGCTCAAACTGACCTTGCAGTCCAGAGCTTTATCCCACAGCGCCACACCAGGACTGTTACTTACCTGATTGCATTTCTTCTGTGGAAGGGGTGGAAATGGCACTGGCAGGAGCAGAATTGGATGTAGTATCTGTCTTTAAGGGCATTAAGTTAATTCTCCTGATTTAAAAAAAAAAGAGAAGAAAAATTAGTGTCAGAACTATCTCTGTGTGATACCGAATTTCAAGCTATCGAAGGAAATATTTAAAAATTTCAGTTGATCATCAGGCACGGCATTAAATAGAACTCTGAAGTGTCTACTTATTTGTTGTTGTTGTGAAGTGCCATCGAGTCGGTTCTGACCCATAGCGACCCTGTATAGGGTTTCCAAGGAGCAGCTGGTGAGCCTGAACCGCCAACCTTGCGGTTCAAATGGCTTTGCAGTCCAGTGCATTAACCCGCAGCGCCACACCAGGACTCCACACCTACTTATTTAGTAACTATGAATTATGTTTATACACTGATTTAAACAATCACATGTACCATGGTCAATTTAAACCCTAAATGGCTTCAAAGCCTGTTTTACTATCGCCAACACTGTGTTGAGTGCCCTCCTAGAAGAGACATACAAGACTATCAGACATGGTTTCTGCATTTGGAAAGCTCAAAAATACTGATCATTCTTTTATAGCAGAGTTTTGCATCCAGCTCTTTTCAACAACCAGGACATGCCTTGTGTCCTTGAGGGGTGCGTGCGCTAACAGGGAGGACAGCACCTGATCCATAATGAGACAGAGAGAGGCCGGGAGAAAAGGAGGCAGACAGCACCAAGGGAGAAGTCAGACAGCGTCTCCCAGACAAGGGTAAAGGTACAACGGCCTCAGCAGGCAGGCTATGCACTGGGCTGGAGACCGAGGCACCCAGGAAGCAGGGGACTAAGAGGCAATGGCATGGCCTCAGGGTGCAGCCCACTCACAGAAGGAGTTTACCCTTGACCAATGGTGGGCTCTATACCAGAAAGAGGCACTCTCAGATTTGATGGGAAGGACTCTCTCTGGCACCAGTATGAATATGTCCTGTATGGAATCTCACTTCTCACCTGTGGGGGGGCTTCGGTTTTTACTTAGTTTCTTGTTGTGTCAGCAGTTCTTACCGGGGGGCTGTCTTGCTCCAGGCCTGCAGCGTGTTCAGTGTGACCCTGCGGGAGGGTTGAGCTTTCATGCCAGCACCGCTGGGCTGCGGGGTCTTCTTCTCCTCTGCAGACCCAGGAGTCGTTGAGGGCGTGTCCTTGACCGCTGGTGGGGCTGGAGACAGCTTGGCCTGAGGAGGGGTGGTGCTGGGACTGCTGGGGTCCTGGGTTCGGCTGGTGGGGGTTCCCTCAACCGATCGGGGTCCTGGAGAAGACCCTTGGTGTATCTGACTCTTAGTTTTCTTTGCTGTGTCTGGAGTTCTCAGGCTCAAAACTGGTTTCTCTTTCAAAGGTATTCCAAGTTCATCCTTCTCAAATGTCACAAATGAGCAATAACCGTCCGTGGAAGAAATGGCCAGGAAGGCTCCATCGCTGGACCTTGTTCCCCAAGACAGAAGAAAGACGTTAGACACGTGAACAAGGCCTACATACCACACGGCATAGCATCACCAAGAAACTCATACAAAAATCACAAGCCTGATGGCAAAAACTGGGGAAGAACCATTAACTCAAAGGCTCGTGTGAACTCCCTAGTCACACACATTCCTTTCCCAGCCCCGTCTCAGTTCTCTACATCACTAAAGTACACCTTAGCTGGTATCAGAGTTCACCGGAGTAAAGGTAAGATGGTCTGTTCTTCAGGGTCTCCAGAAAGGGAGTTAGAAAGAGCAAGCCATAGACTGAGTGGTCAGACCTCTCGGCTAATGTTTGGGCTGGACACAAGTCAACCAAGGAGACCAAATCAGGGAACCAAGAGGTGGCTCAGGGCGGACAGCAGGAATGGCCTCCTCAGGACAGTCCTGGTGCTCCTGTGGTTCTTCCTGTCAGGGCAGCATGGCCTTGCAGGTGTGGGCTTTCTCCCGAGGAGGCAGTTCTGCTGGGCCTGCTGATTCTCCAAACAACCGGGGAGCCATGAGCCATCCCTCAGTTTACTGATATCTTTAGATGAATGCCATAGGGAAAATCTAAACCCACCGCTGTCAAAAACAGGAAGCAAATATTACGGGAAACTATTTCCATTTTGTGCTGACTCCTTTAAAAAAAAATTGGTAAATAAGGGCCATCTTTAGTGATAAAAGACACTCTACCCCAGGGGTCTGTTCTCAACTACCATGCTTATATTTTCTCTAGTCACCTGCCTCCATCACTGGCTTGTTAGCTGATTTTTGGTTTGGTCTTGACTCTTGGCAACCCTACACACAACATGATCAGACTGCTGTGCTCCACAGAGCTCTCACTGGCTGATTTCCACAAGGAGATCACCGGATCTTTCTTCCTTGTCTGTCTTTTTCTGGCAGCTCCGCAGAAACCTGTTCGGCATCACAGCAACATACAAGCCCCTGCCAACAGGCAGGTGGTATCGCCAGCTACTCACCAGGAAATATCACTCAGCGTGTGATAATGTATGTTAGACACGTAGCCAAAAGGGAAGGACTGCTGGGTGTCATAGAAAAGCACGGAGTCTTCCGAGGCCACAGCAAACACCACACGGTAGGGCAGGGTCATCAGGTCCTGGCCTGGCTCTTGGGACAGCTTGTCTGCAGGAAGGGACAAAAGGGGACAAAGGAAGGAAAAGTGGAACCAAATTCCCAGAGAAAACAAATCCCTTCCAAACTGCCATCTCCTGGGGGACATAAGTGACGTCATTTTACTGAAAACAAACCTGTTTGATGCTTTACCAAAGATATTTTAAATTTTGTTACTTATCTATCTAAGGAGCTCTGGTAGCGAAGTGGTTACTAATCGGGCTGCGAACCTTAAGGTCAGCAGTTTGAAACTGCCAGTTGTTCCGTGAGAGAAAGATGAGGCTTTCTGCTCCCGTAAAGATTTACAGCCTCGGACCTTTTACAGGGTCTTTATGGGTCAGAACTGACTCCACGGCACGTAACAACAATAACACGTATTTATCTATTGATATACACATACAAATATATAACTAACAATTACGTAGGACCACAGAGGACTGGGTGTCATGAATCAAGAACCATGAGTACCTGAGGTACAAAAAAGAGATCATGAAAAAGTGAAAAAGACATGTGAACCTCATTAAGAAAAATGAGGGTTACTTATAAAACAGAAACATTTTATGTCTTCATTCTCTGCTGAGTTAATTATATTCATTCACATAAAGGATTCCAAGGTTCAAAACAGCATCTGCTTCCAGCCATGAAGTACTGGATTTACTTTCCCACAAGAAACAACTAAAGAATCAACAAAATATATGAAACCACAGTTTTTTAAGTCACTGCCAATCAAAAAGGACAAACAACCATTTGACCTAGCTTGGATAGCTTGATGATCAAAATTCGACTACCCGAAGATAAATTTGACATAGGAGCAAGTATAAATTGCTACAACTTGATGAACTTGACTATATCTTCTAGATGTAATAGCACAAAATACCAAGCGAGAGGGAAGGAGTCTTCAAATCAAGGATCAAGCCTATCCCCTCAGTATATAGGGTTGATAGGGATAGGCAGCTCAGACACTGACTACCTAAAAAGGGGGAGTGCTATAAAGGCATGAAGTGGCTGGCTTACAAGTTTCCAAGAGGAGGTTAGTTTCAGAGTAAATGGGGTAAGGTAGAATCCCCACTGAACAGTTTCCATCTTGTCTAGACGGGTCAGGTGAAAGGAGATGGGAATAGGATTCTGTCAATCTAATAATGAGTTGATTTAATTGTTATCATGACTAATTATGATCGTCACAATTGTAAAGGTAGAAGATGTGTAACAAAAAGGGGGGTAGTGGTTGATCTTGCATTCCAGGAACAGAGGGCCCCGGCACCAGCAAGAGAGAAGAGCATAGGCAGAATGTGGGATCCTAACAAGAGAAACAGCAACACCAAGAGTCGGAGGCAGAGGTGATGGCAAGGAGAGAGAGAACATCTGAGGACTCTAGACTCATGGAAAGAGAAAGGCTGTGTGCTGGCGGGCAGGGAGCCAGCTTGCAAAATGTGCCCTTTAGTTGTTTAAACAACTATATATTCCTACGTGGGTTTGTGTGTGTGTACATCAAAAAAGCGGATTGTAATCATTACAGTAAAACAAGTTGTGTTTGGTTGAATGGGTAAGTGGGACAGAGGTTGAATACATGGTCTGCCATGTATTACTCAACTCACAATAAAAACTTTTTTTCAAAAAAGGACAAACAACCCTGAGAACTGGGACACAGATGAGACAAGTCCTCCAAGTACCTCAACTTACTGGCCAGAGAGTGTCCAGCATACAGGGATGCCAGAGCTAGGAGGGCCAAGGCAGCTGGCATTCAGATGACGCAGTACCAGGGAGCTAGAGAGAGTAAGACACCTACAGAATCCCTCTCGACTCTTACAGTGTATGTATGTGAGGGAAATTCTTGACAATGGGGAAAGAATGACTAGAAAGAAACAGAATAATCCTTGACGCTCACACAGAACCAGGGACAGTGTATGTTCCAAACAACAGGACTGGAAAACCTCATAGTTAAATGGATACTCATCAGAGTACTCAAAGCATTTTGCTGCAGTAGTGAGGATTACAGCCCCACACTAATGCTGCTGTTACCTCACTTAAGACCCAAAAGAATCACAATGTTTCTGATAGAACAGGGATGCAGGAAAGGAGGAACAGATCCAACACCCTTCACCCCTATCGCCCTGATAACCATCAGCAACCACAGGTAGAAGATAACTAAATAAGGAGACAAAAAGAAGAAAAGTCTATGAACTATGAGAATGTCAGAGATGGACATTTTAAATCTATCTCGTGGGCTTTCAGAAATGGACTCGCCTCTCAAGTGTACTTTCACTTTATATTAAACCTGCTTTCTCGCACTCCTGTTGTCTTACGTCCCTGACACCTCACACAAATCTGCATCTCCTTGCTACAAGTCTAGGAGAATTCCCGTGGCACATTCAGTAACATTTCCAAGTCATTAGCTGCATCCCAGATTATAGTTTAAAAATATCAAGGGCTTCAAAGAGTTAGTGGGAAATTTCCATTATCTTTTCATTCCACTTTTCCACAAACTCTTTGAAGCCCCTTGTATTCTTTTCTTCTTAAGTTTTTATTGTGAATTGAGTGATAGTTTACATGGGAGAATATCAGCTTTACACTCATTCTATTGTATTTCATTTCATTGCAATGATTACAATCCCCTCCATGCATTATCATTCAACAGTATTTGCTACTATTTCCTCTGGATTTTTGGGGGGTTTTTTTGATGTACACCAAAACACTCATGAATATGCAATCATTCAAACACCCAAAGAGCATACCCTGCAAGCCTGCCCTACTGTTACTGAATTCTGTATTCAAGATGCAAGAGGAAAGGCTGAGCTTGTTAAGTAGAGACAAAGGATATGAAAATTGATATGTATTCAAATCAAACTTGTATATGGAAACTGCAATGCTAGAGATGAAAAATCCATCGAATGGGATTATGTGCATATTATACCAAAGAAAAGATGAGTGAACTAGAAGCACAGCAATAGATAGTATCCAAATTAAAACAATGAGAAAAGCCTTTTAAAAGTATACAGAAGATGAAATTAGTCAGTTACAAAAGGAGAAATACTGCATACATAGAACCATTATTGTAAAAGATTAAGATAAAGAACCCACCCTAAAAGGGGAAAAAAAAATCTTTGCTGATCCCTGGCATGTATGGAGTAGGGTGAGGGGAGGGAGGGGTAGGTGGAGCACAAGGTAGGGAACAGACACAGGACAGCTTGGATGCTGGTGTGGAGGGGGGAGACAATACACAAGAAGGGGGAAGAGAATGGAAAAACAAGGTGGACGGGAGAACAGTTAGGCAGGTTTCCATGGGCTAAGTGGGACAGAGGTAAATAATGATGCATGTACAACCTTGGAACAGCAGGGCTCTGGGATACAGGGACTGAAGCATGGTTTGAATGGATAAAAGAGGAAAAATAATAAGATGCTTGACTGTCTTTTGACACTTGAGGGGGAAAGAAAGAAATAGCCAGAAATATCACCATAGAAAGCTTGTAAATCCATCTTCAGCCTTTAATTGACTGGAATACCTAAACTGGGGCTAGAACTTGCCCAGTGAAAGAGGCTTCCAGCGGAGCCTCTGTATTACATAAGACCATATGTAGAATCCTGAACACCATTCAGAATCTTCTGAGGTGGGTTATTTCCACTTGAAAGGACAAGCAGACCAGGCTGGAGTGGCTGGAAGAACAGAAGATATTTCTTGAAAGACCGGCAATAATAATCAAAAACAGTAACGGCAGTCCGACTGACTACTACAAGAACAAGCAAGTTGTTCACCCAAGAGCCATAAAGGCAAGTGGTTGGGTTTCCTCAGAGCAAACCCCCTTCCAACACTAAGACTCAAGGGGAATACACAAGCAAACATGTGGTCTGGCTGGTGACCAAAATGGTCACCGACAAGGAAAAGTTGGGGAAAAACATAAATGAAGTTGTGAGTTAAGTCCGACCACGTTCAATAGACTCCTGTCAACCTGGGTGGAGACCTGGATAGCCAGCAGTGTGCCATGACCTGGGGACTCTTGGGCCCAGAGACAGTGACATAGCCACAGAGGACTATAGTGGAGAGTGAAGCGTCCAGCTGATATGAAGTGAGGAGAGATGCACAAGAACACCCATACTTGCAGACAGTACCCACTTGACCTGGCTTCAGTGGCCAGATGATCAGAACTCAACTAGAAGAAAAAAGAAGAGGAAAAAAAGAGTAATCTGCTACAATTTGATGAACATGACCAATACTTAAGGATGTAGTAGATCCAAAGAGGAACAAATCTTTACAGCGAGGATCATTCCCCTTCAGTACACAGAGTTGACAGGGATGGGCAACTTAGTCACTGGCTACCCAAAATGGGTATGCTACAAAGGCAAGAAATGACGGGCTTACAAGCTTTCAAGAGGGAACCAAGTTCCAGAGGGTGCAGGGGAAGGTAGACTCTCCACTGAGTGGTTTCCAACCTGATGGCGAGGGTCATGCCATCAAGGAACGGAATGGCGTGAGACCCTGCGCATGAAAAGCTCATTGTTTTAGCAAAGCAACAATGAGTGTCTCCTTGGTTGGCAAAGCCACAAAGAGAACCTCATGCAAAGGCCCCCGTAGTTCTTGTTTTCTGTTTATGAATGGTTCATTTTTTATTTAATTAATGGGAACTTTTTCTATAATCATATTAAAGAATAAAATTACATTTAGATACTTTCACACCATAGTCAATCACGTATAGTTATAAAGATTGCTTTTTACAGCAACAATAGTTTCACCACTAGGAAAAACCACACCAGCTAAAGTACTGCCAGGTCAAGTTTAAGATTACAATTAACATCCTCTATAGTTTTAGCTTGAGACAATAAGACCTTTAGAAATTAACTGAACCATGATCCAGGGTTGTGGGAACACATAGGAACATAAGTAAAAATTTAACTAGATGTTTTGGATACAGAAATTATTAGTATTAGGGAAGTTGTTTCATTTAACTATAAAACTTTAGGTACTTTTTACACTCTTGTTTTTAAAGCAATTATGAGTAACTAATATGTAGGGTTGGTTTCGGGAAAAATATTTTGCCTGTGAGTTGTAATTAATGAATCTATAGAAAATAATAGGTGAGGGTAGAAGTAGGAGTTAAGATTTAGAATCATGTTTTAAAGTTAACCTGACATTTTAAGGAAGATTGGAGAAGAACAAAGTCACTTACGAAAAACAGATGTTATCGAGGTAACTAAGGAGTATAAGGAAGCAGTATGTGAAATGATCAAGGAAAATATTTTGATGTTCTTTGATGTAACTAGGAGATTCATGAATCAAAAGTAAATGTAATGACAGCATAGATTATACTTTAAAGAAATTAATTACTATGAGATCATGGTGTATTGTAATGGTATATAAGAAACTGAAAAAATTGAGTAAGAAAAAAAAAGAAGCAAGATTCAACACAACCCAGTGACTCCATGTGATTCCTTTCGCCAACTCCACATCCCCCTTCGAGAGTCCCCTAATAAGTTTGTCAGGGCTGGTCCCCAACAGGTAGACTCTCCACTGAGTGGTTTCCAATCTGTCTGGATGGGGATGATGAAAGAAGATAGGGATAAGACTCTTGTGGTACAATAGTAAATAACTGCTATCAGGACTGACTTGCAAATGTAAAGGTAGACGTTTTGTAACAAAAGGAGCGGAGTTGTTGACTTTGCAGTCCAGGAGCGGAGGTCCCTGGGACCATCAAGGGCGAAGAGCAGAGTGTGGGACCCTACCCAAAGAACCAGTGACGCCAGAGATGGAGGCAGAGACAATGACGTGGAGAGATGGAGCAGCTGGATACGCTGGACTCAGGAAGGGGGAGAGGTTGTGTGCTGGCAGCCGGGGGGCAGGCTTGCAGGCTTGCATCAAACAACCCTTTGGTTGTTTGATGATGCATAGAAGGGATTGTAATCATTGCAATTAAATGAACTGCAACAGTATGAATGTAAAGCTGGTAGTCTCCCATGTAAACTATCACAAAATTCACAATAAAAACTTAAAAAAAAGTACACAGAAGTTCAGTGAGCTGTAGGATAATTCAAGTGGCCTGATAAATATCTATCTGGGGAGTCCTGGAGTGGCGCTGTGGGTTAATGTGCCAGACTGCAAAGTTGGTTTGAAGCAAAGGTCAATGGTTCAAGCTCACCAGGCACTCCTTCGAAACCCTATACAGGGTCGACATGGATTGGAACCGACTCGACAGCACCTAACAACAATATATATGTAGGACTCCAGGTGCGGCACTGTAGGATAAGCACTGGGCTTGGAACCACAGGTTGGCAATTCAAACCCTCAGCTGCTCTTAAGAAACCCTATACAGGTTGCTGAGTAAGTGCCAACTCAATGGCACTTAACAACAATATAATTATAACTGGGAGTCCCTGAAGAAAGAGTTTTGTTGTTGTTGTTAAGTGCCGTCGAGTCGATTCCGACCCATAGCAACCCTGTATGGGGTTTCCAAGGAGCAGCTGGTGCGCTTGAATCGACAACCTTGCAGTTCAAATGGCTTTGCAGTCTGGCGCATTAACCCACAGTGCCAGTAGAAATGACCAAAAAAAATCCAAATCTGGTAAGAACGATAAACTCATAGACCTAAGAAGCTCAGCAAACTGCAAGCACATCAAACATGAAGACTACACCAAAAGCATATCGTAATCAGACTGCTTAACGTCACTGATCAAGAAAGAATCTTAAAAGCAACCAGAGGAAAATCAACAAACCCAATTCATGCACAAATCTATTAAACCAAAAACTGACAGCAAATGACATTCAACTTGGCTTTAGAAAAACAAAACCAGTACTTTTATTCCATTAAAGTGTATTCTGTATAAGGCAGAAAAAAATTGACATGTTTTAATATCATCAGTCTTGGTTCCAGATTTTGAGAGTGACTCATAACAACCCTGCATAGGGCTTCCAAGGCTATAAATCTTTGTGAGAGCAGAAAGCCTCATCTCCCTCTTGAGGAGCAAACCACTGACCTTCTGGTTCGCAGTCCAATGCTTACCCTACAGAGTGACTAAAGGGAACCAAATCTAGGTATTCACCATTTCCCATAAGAATCTAAGCCACCTACCCCTAGCACCACCACCCGCCTCCCCCGCGCCAGCCCCACGACCACACACACACACACACACACACACACACACACACACACACACGCTAGGGTGACCTGTCTCAGAACGAAAACATCAAAGCATGACCATGATTTTAAAGGTACCTGTTTCTGCTATCGGTCTTAATTCAAAGTACACGGGGCAGCAGCGGACAGCAAGTGTTGCTTTTCCAGGACATGGAAGATGAGCAATAGGCCTATAAGGAAAACCAGAATTTTATAAAAAGACACTGTTATGCTGCAAAAGCAAAAAGGGTAAATGTCTGAAATATTTCCTCAGCTGCATACCTTTTAAGATTTCTCCTGGAGAAAACATAAGTTGTATTTGTTACATTTTCACCAGACTCCACACATCCAGCTGGGGAAACAGGAAAAGGGAGCAACAGAAAAGAAAGTCAACAAAAACTCATGAGCATTCCATTTTGGTTTGTAAACTCTTTTTCTGTAAAGATGTATTCTCTAAACAACTTGTTTGTGCCCAAGAACAAATAGAAATCCACTCTCTGGCTTCACCACCTTACTTTAGGTTACCTACCTGTCGTCTCCATCTTAGGCCTTAGAAGCCCTCCCACTCTGCAGTTCTAGTTCCAGTTCCAGCTCTGGGCAGGAAGGACTGTCAACAGCAGGCAGTTCTGGGTATGGAAGAGCTTAGGCCTAAAATTCCCAGACTCCTGGTTTCCGATCCTGTTTTCCATCCAAAGTTTGAGACTCAGGCCTTTTGCCATCTGCCTGATTGAGCTATGAGACAGCAAGGAAATCTAGCCCTCTGCTGACATCCCAGCCCCTGCAGAACATTTTGCTCCAGGAACAGCCCACTTGTAAGAGCTATTCTACATTCACACCAGGAAGGACTTCAAACCAGGGCAGACCCTGTCATGAGAATGATGCTTAGACACAGATACCCTTGGAAACATCTCCCTGTTATAAACATCTCCCTGTCTTATGATACTATTGCTTTATACATATATACACATCTGCAACTTTACATGTTACTGTTCCATATTCTCATATACTAGAGAGAGTTTTAAGAGTTCTTTTTTCAAAACTATTATTTTTCTGTATAGTTACCTTCTCATTTCACAACATCCTTCCAAACTCAGGTAATCCATTTTAGTCACTCACTATATGTCATTTCTATATTTCCTCCATGCTTATATAATCATTACTAATTTATATTAATCATATATATATACATAGTGGGGTTTTTTAATCCAATTGCTTTTTGGCTCTTTCTTTTTGGATGTGTGCATTTATTGCAATAAACTGTCCTCTTTGGGACTGCTTTTGCCATGTCCCAAAGATTTTGGTATGTTGTTTTCATTCTCCTTTGTTTCTAGGCATTTTGTGAATTTACCTTTTATTTGTTTTATCACCCAGAACAAATAAAAAGTGAAGAGGACTTGAAACATTTACTTATGACGATCAAAGAGCACAGCCTTTGGTATGGATTGCATCTCAATGTCAAGAAAACAAAACACTCACCACTGGACCAATAAATAACATTCTTATCAATGGAGAAAAGATTGTGTGAAGTTGTCAAGGACTTCATTCTTCTTGGATCAACTATCAACACTC